AAATTGCTAAATAGGAATGCAAAAAAGAAAATAATAAAAAATATAAAAGTGTAGAGATTCCAAGTCACGTTAGTTCACGACGTTTCGATTGTTGGTATCCACAATCGTCTTCGGGTGATGACTGGACTGAATCCTCCGAGAGATGACTATTTATGGGTCAATCGAGTACTTTCACTTTCTCCACTTTCCTTTTTCCGCTTCACTGGTTTAGTGGGAGATGACCTTTTGGCGGGAGTTGGCAATTTTTCGCTTGATGATGAGTTTCCATATGTTGCGTATCTCTACGCTAGCTTGGCTGAATATGTTATTGGACAACATCTATGCGGCTTCTTTGAATTTCCTCCTAAACCAATGTTCCTCTCTGTGTATGATCTCAGCTTGGGACCACTTGATATTATGTTGATGGGTCCAAACATGTTCTGCTACTCCTGATTTGCTGGTTTCCTCTCGCTGTGTTTCTTGTGCTCGGCAATGCGAACATTCAATGGCCTCTTAGTTTCACTGATATAGGATTTTCCGCACTCACAGGGTATCCGGTGAATGCAATTCTTGGAATCGCAGTCCGCGTTTGGTGGCCTGGTTTTCGTGAGGCTGCTATGGATAGTGTTTCCGGATCTGAAGCAGGCTCTGATGTTGTACTTGGAACCAATTCTTCTTATCCTTTCCGATAGTCCTCTGATGTAGGGAAGTGCAAGCACTGTTTGTGACAGCTGTTGTACATGTTGTACGACAGCCGTCACAACCAGTACATGTACAGCCGTACATGTTGTAACAACGTATTCAGCCAAGCTTATGGGTCATTCGAGTACTTTCACTTTCTCCGCTTTTCTTTTTCGCTTTACTGGTTTAGTGGGAGATGACCGTTTGGCGGGAGTTGGCCATTTTTCACTTGATGATGGGTTTCCATATGTTGCGTATCTCTACGCTAGCTTGGCTGAATACGTTGTTGAACAACATGTACAACTTTGGCTTAAAGACACCAGGAGCCTCACAAGGAAGGGAAGCTGTCACAACCAGTGCTTGCACTTCCCTACATCAGAGGACTATCGGAAAGGATAAGAAGAATTGGTTCCAAGTACAACATCAGAACCTGCTTTAGATCCGGAAATACTATCTGTAGCAGCCTCACGAAAACCATGCCACCAAAAGCGGACTGCGATTCCAAGAATTGCATTTACTGAATACCCTGTGATTGCGGAAAATCCTAAATCAGTGAAACTAAGAGGCCATTGAATGTTCGCATTGCCGAGCACAAGAAACACAGCGAAGGGAAACCAGCAAATCAGGAATAGCAGAACATGTTTGGACCCATCAACATAACATCGAGTAGTTCCAAGCTGAAATCGTACACAGAGAGGAACATTGGTTTAGGAGGAAATTCAAAGAAGCCGCATACATGTTGTCCAACAACGTATTCAGCCAAGCTAGCGTAGAGATACGCAACATATGGAAACCCATCATCAAGCGAAAAATGGTCAACTCCCGCCAAACGGTCATCTCCCACTAAACCAGTGAAGCGGAAAAAGGAAAGCGG